TGGACTTGTTCTCGCACTGCTAGACCTACCGTCGAATGCTTTCAAACTGCATTTTAAGTGCATTTAGACAGTTATGATGCAGTATAAATCGACGGGTAAATATTCTGTCACATACATACATTACTTTATGTTACTTTCATAATCATATAAACGAATCCATTAATATAATTTACAAAACTGTTTTGAAAAATCTGTTTGGCTCGTTAACAGCTTCAACAAATTCCACCTTGATTTCTGGAACTTTTTTTGGTGCCCTTTTGCTACCACCTGAAATAAAAACGACTTTTGATTGAAACAAAGACCAGGAATGAAATGATTTTAGTAACCTTTCATGTTATTGAGTTTTAAGAGCTAGATTACGAGCTCTTGGGCAGAATAAAAATTACAGGATCATGGAATTAGATCCAAGTAAACACAAGAAAATTACAGACTGGACAAAAGGTATAGGCCTATACTTTTTCTTACCTAATATCATAAATAAAATAAAGGAAGATTTGAAATAAATAACAACAATATGAAATTTGAATTACCTTGAAGCAATAGTTTCTGCAATACTGAGAAAGGGGCGTCAATAGTGATGCACAGAATGAACGCTGCGATTGTTGTGAAGCCCAGTTCACCCATGAAGCGATACATCTGTTAAAACGAAAATATTTCAGTATAAGACCGGTGTGTTAGTGATTCGAAGTCAGTTTTACATTTGTTGCATAATTATAACGATGCATAAACATGACATGATTCAAAATCCTGTTTCACATATCTAGATATTCCTGACTTCATACAAGTGAAGACTATAGTCAACAAGCTGTCAGAAAATTGTAAAGCTGTGTTCCATCTATTATATTATATTACCAGACCAGAAAATATCATCTAGTCAAAATGGAATTAAGCCTACGGGTTAGCTCATGTAGCGTGCTTAACAGAATGGTTGTTAACAAAGTAATTATCGTTATTCACATTAAAGTTATTGTTGTAGGTGTCCTTCTTGAGGTCAAATTATGATCAGGAATGTCGTAAAATGAAATTTCTTATTTAAACTGGTCACTGAAAATGAAGTCATCAAAATGTCATAAACGGGAATCATCGGTTTTATAGTTGGTAATAAAGACCACTTCCGCTACCTTTACTAGATTCAACTACATACTTTACGATCGGCCGTAATTTCTTGCGTAGTAAAACGAATGACTTATAGGTTTTTATCATTAAGGGACTCTCGGCTTAAACTTTTGTCGTAAACGAAATATTTAATTTTCTTTTCGTAAAGGTTATTTAAAATGGGAAAAGTGAGCATTGAGACAAGACTTTAAATACTATAGAAAGTCAAGAAATGCGTGTTAATAATAGTCTCGATAAAATTACATACAATTCTTTGATGATTCCATCATACGTCCCTCTGCTGGCAGAGATCTCTAAAGAGACGACAAGGGAAACCTCTAGAAGCAGAGTTAACGCGGGTTGTTGATCTAAATGTTTTCTAAGGGCTGTGAACCATCTTCGACATGGTTTGTTTTCGACGTTTTCTTTTGCCATTATCGAGAGGTATATACAGTTGAGAAGCAATTATTCTCACATTGAACTACCACCGCTCTCATAATTGTATGATTGAGCGATACGAAAGGAGCTTTAACACTAACGCAATGTAGTAAAATTCAAAATGATTAATTTTCTACTGGCCATGAACGTTCATGAGAAAAGTTAATATTAGTGTTAACATTTCATAGTCCAAAAGTAAATTCTGGACCTTTACTGTTTATGTGTGGAAAGTTTCATATTGTGTAATAAACATTTGAGTTGAGTTTACTACGTTGATGGCTTTAAATTTTCACATTGTTTCCGGTAATAATTTCCACTAGATGGACATTTCTACGTTTTACTGTGTTACGCCAAATTCATAACATTTAGCAATTATGACATTAATTAAGTTAGACTAGTTGACTTTTTTGTATTTTGTAATATACATAGCTACACAAAAAACAACAAAATCTTTGTTCTAGCCGGCAATGGATACCAGAAGTCATCTTGTGTGCTGTAGAACAACTAAAACGTTTGGAGACTTCATGTTTTTTCGGACCTAAATCGTGTATAGTTTGTTTTCAGCTGCAATCATGGGACTTGTAAGCGGCCCGAAACATTGGTTTGTTTGAAAAAACATTTGTGATTTCAATCCGAAAAAATAGTTTTATTTCCAATGTGTAGCCAACACGAACACTTAAAAAGACGATAATTAAAACGTTGTTGTTACTAACCGTTTCGCCATTACTGAAATAGTGTGTCTTAAGCCAAGACCCGTTGACTACCATCATGATAGGAAAATGCACCAGGTACATGGCGTACGAGAGACGAGCAGGAAGCTTCCACATTTGGAGTGACAGGAACCAGTTTATTGGACCTGGGGATAGAAGGAATTTATAGAATGTGTAGACTTTGGACTAAAGTATATCAGGGTAAAAGAAATCTGCCTGCCGATGTTAGAAGCTGAGAGTCAGGCGTGAATGTGTGGATGAAAAATAAAACAATTTAATCTTTGCATTTGAGGATTTTAATAATACCCGTCGTTTACACGGATCTCTTGAAAGGAGAGTAATGTTTTTGAGGATTGATTTGATATGAATACTAGAGTTTGACCAAAAGTTTTTCTGGTAATTTGCACTAAAATTTTTATGAAATGCGGTTGACAGTTTCTATTGATTAATAGTTCAAAGTCACAGTGAACGTAAGTATTGATATTAATCTATTTTGTGCATCAATAAAGAAAAAGTTTTCCAAATTGAAATGTTGGCCGCAGGTGGAAGAACTTGGAAAAAGGCTTTGATTTGTAATCAAACACTAGAGATACTTGATTTTAAAAATACGTACCTCCATAGCCCTGGACGCAGGCGAAAATCAGCCAACCTAGAGCGCAAGCCCACATGGCGCGCATGTATGCATTGAGGATATTGTCAAGAACCTGGATGTCATGACTCGGCTGCGCCACAGGATAGACCGAGAAGATGCAGAACGCCATGATCAGGAATGATAGTGCCCAGAGAAGGACTAAGTTGACCTGCAAAATAAGTTAATACTCTTAATTTAAATTTTAACTAAAAGTTGTGTATATTTTTACGTAGTAGGACACCTATACGTGATGCATTTGTAATCAGATTTTTACGATTTTTATTTATAGAATAAGATATATTTACAGGGTGAATGAGAGAAAGAGATAGTGAACTTTTTTGGTTGCTGTTTATTTATGTAGCATACGAAATTGCCCATGACATGGAACAACTTTCCTCAAAAGACATTGTTCGATGCTTAAATACGTTTTAGAATAAAATTATTATTTCTATCTAAAGTTGTTGTGTGTCATAAACATTTCAAATGGTATTAATCATTCTACGATTATATTATTATCCTACGAGAAAAGATTATAGAAGAGAACTGTATAATAATTTACAGTAAAACCACTTAGTCTTAATCCAATGGAATCTCCGTACTTGGACTATTAAATTAATAAAATTCACAATATGGTCACTATCTAAAACATTCGAGTAATTGGAGTGTTACCTAATTTTAAGGCTTATTTACCTTAGCAACCCGGATTTTCCTGTCGCGGTAAAGATGAATGATGTATCCGTACAGCATGCCGACGAAGAACGGCGGCGCACGCGCCAGCGTGTTGAAGTAGTAGTATTTTACATACGAACTAACCTCCGCCAGTCGACTGAGAAACATAAAGCATTTTATGATAAAGTTATTGTATGATAACAAAATAATTAATAATAAATTTACAATACGATATGGATGAAATTAAATTATTTTATGATTAAAAACAAGGTATATTAAAAGGGGTTACTACAGTCGGGTATAAAACACTTCTCTTTTTGTTTTAAATTTTAATTATTATAAAGCTTTAAAATGTTAACTGCCACGTTGAGTAAACTGTGATGTAAAAATCTTGGAATGTCTACTAAATTGACGCTGTAAATTTATGTCAAATTATCAAGAAGCACAGAAATACTATTTAAAAAGATAGCAAATTAACAACTGTTAATATTATTGGTAATGGTGGTTTCAAAAGGCCAGACTCACTTTATATTCACTAAAACAGCAGAGAAATTGTAAAGGAAGCTGTACAACGAAGACGAGATTAGAGAAAGGATGATCGCAGCGGTAAGAGAGAACCATGCCAAGCGTCCCGAGCCAAACAGCCACAGCAATACCAGAGGGCAGATGACGTATAACTGGATATCAACTGACAGATACCACGTTTGACCTAGACACTGTAAAAAAATTTCGTGTTAAGAAATTTGGATTCTGAACTCATTGATAACAATTGTAATGCGGTTTTGATACTACAGTTTGATTGATACATATTATGATACAATAGGATTGAACCGTGATGTTCACATCACTTGACCAAACTTTAGAGGAAACGGCATGTCCGGTAAAGGGCAGTATGATGAGTCTAATAGAAATGCAAGTTATGGAACATCGCATTGCTGCAGAAGTTTAAGAATTAGTATTTTCCAAAGATTTCATTAATATTGGAGTCGTAAAGTATCATCAGTTCTATTAGACTTTAACTATAAATCTTGGATAAGGATTGGATGTAATTACCATGGCATCATAATTGACAATGTTCTGAACATGTAGTAAGGCAGACCACCAGTACTCTCTGCATCGTTCCGTGGAACCAGCTACTACGTTCCAATTGGGGCCATCGGACATGTGGTGGAATAGAGATGCTTGGAGGAGAATTACAGCTGCGAGAAGAGGAAACATCCGCAGCAAACGGTTCAGATAGAACAAATGGAGGCACCGGATGAATCGACCTATAGAAATAATATTAATTAATCTAACAGGTGATTACAGGTTACCCAATTAAATTATGTTAGCGTGTCGATACAAAGATGGATAGCAGCTAACATTTCCAGTCCTAACTGTTAACGTATGTCTTTTTTTATTTCGTTGATTGAATAAACGGCTAACCCACCAAGACTTATACAAAAATAAAGATCTTTACGATTGTAATAATTTGTACAAACTATATGTTTGTAAGCGGGCAGTCTGTACCAAAAGAAGCTAATCAGCTAGTGTTTCATATGTGAATTATAAAAAAGTAAATTTTTTAGCGGTTTATCAATGAAATAAATTCATAGATGTTCTATTACTTGTTGTCGCCTTTTTTGACGCCTACTTGTTATACATATTTTATGTATGATTGGTCGGTGACGAACTAATTCAACTAATGAGCTTGAACTGACAGCGCGTGGATTCGTATGGTTTAGGTTTGCTGGTTATATTAACTGTTGTGACTACTTGTTACTTTTTTAAATTGTAATTGAAGTAAAGTCATTAAATGATTAGCAAGTTTTTATATTGACTATACTCACATTTAATAAACAAATCACTGACCATTTTAATCCACAAAATGAAACAAGTGTAAAAATATCAGATTAAACAGAAATTGGAGTTATCCACATTATTTTGTCAATGTTATGAATCATTTGTTTTACCATGAAACTTTATTACTTTCAGATAATTTAAATTTATCAATTACCTTGAATCACATCAATCACTAAATTACTAATTAATCATTGATCGTAATGATATTTGACAAATATGTTAAGTGTTTAATGCCTATTAACTTTTCCATTGTACTTTGAAATGGGTATTTAGAATCAAAAGTTACGATCGATATCACGGACAAACCACATTAGCACGATTACAAGTAAATTAAACAACAATAAATCAGTACAGAGTACTAAAAAAACCGACCTCAAATGTATGTGGAATTACGTCTATTTGCTAAGTTTTATTGAAATATCCCCTAGTTCGCCACTATACAGGACTTGACACTGGAGACAATAATAATCGGTTCTCACTACTCAAAGTATATTGAGAGAAAAACGCCCTGAAGTGGAGAAATAGTTAAATCAACCATTAAAATAATTGCTCCTAAATTAAAGTTAGGCGCTATTTATAAAAATGAATCTTCATGCGTGAACAGCCATCCTTAAAGGTGGATGATTTTCTTCAAAATGAAATGGGACCACTATGGAAATACCCCCTTTCCAACAAAAAAAGAATCCTGAAAATCGGTTCACAAATACCGGAGTTATCGCGTAACATACATACAAAAAAAAAAGAAAAAAAAGAACATACAGTCGAATAGAGAACCTCCTCCTTTTTTGAAGTCGGTTAAAAATAACTATATTTACAAAACCGATTAAAAAAATTAGGTTTGCCTTATTATTAAGAATAAATTGAAATAACTAGAACACTCTTATGTAAATAGTCATCTCATAAACATCGTTAATACGCTCTGAACAACATTTTAATATATTTTTAGGTTTATAAGGTATTGATATTTTGTCGCTAGTTTTGAATTATGGGATCATATTTCTTTTTGATAGTAGAAGAAAATAGTTTTCTTTTTATAAAAGTGAATTCTCAGACTTTTTAAATGCTGAACCACATGAAATAGACTCCATAGTTGCTAGAAGAAGTTTGAAAGTATGACTTACCTCTGGTGACCTTCCCGATGGTAGTATAAACGACGAGAATGCCACTAAGGAGGAAGAACGTATCGACGGTGATGGGCGCCGCAATCACCCACGTACTCGAGAACGCCGACATCCACTGTAAAATTATTTATGAGTTAGGTGACTGCAATTTGGACATTCTGTTACTCATTACTTGGATAAATTATAATATTTTGTTCTGCTGTTATGGCAGCGGTTTTAAGACCATTGAAGTGAGAGAAGAAAGTAAAAGAGCATGTTCGTTTTGTAAACTTGCACCTAGTCAACCCTTTTACCTAATTCTGATCCTGTCAATAGATATTGTCAAGAGTTTTATAAAAGGTAAGTAGGCGAGTAGAGAAATACTTACATTTATAATGTCAACATAGTTGTGAACATGTCCATACAGAGTTAGGAAATAGGTGTGACCAACTACGACCCAGAGCATGGAAATGGCTCGAATGCCATCGATACATTCCAGTGCACCATTGGCAGATTTGAACGTGAGGAACCGGTGTGTGTTCGTGTACACTGAAAAACTTCGGAGTAAGACATTCGCTTCGGAAGGATCTGGAAAAAATAATTATGCATTGGTTCAAAGTATACTTGTCTAATTGTAAAAATTCTTAATGTAGAAGAGAACGTATAATTTGTAAAACGATGAAGAAAGACATGCATATTAAATAAAAATGTAAGTATGTTAGAAGCAAAATCTGCAGACTCAAAAGTCATTATTAAAGTCAATTTCGATATGGAAATTTGCTCCTATTTCTTAAAAAGTGCAATAACATTACAAACAAATAAAATCTTGGTTCAATGTACGAACTTTTAAATAAGCTACTTCTAGTAATACTTGAATTTTGCACTTAAATTGTAAATGATTTTATAACGATAATTACGAATACACTTAAAAAGATAACAGATATTGTGTTGCCAAGTAGAATCACGATATCAGCATGAGAGCATTGACTTGGAAAGCAATTGACAGAGCAATATCTTCGAGTGTTGTTAGAAATACGTTATGTAATTAAAATAGCTAAAGATATTTGGATAAACGCCACTAGACGTCGTCACAACTTGGTGTGTTTCTATGATTCATACGCATTTTTCGATGTCGCACCCGAGCATAATTTACATAATTATGAAATAAATACATTTTGAGTTTCAGTAAACAAACAAACTTACCTCGCTTTCTTACAAATATGTGATATAGATCGTAAGATGTGCTGATTATTAATAGAAGCCCGATGAATGACAAGATACCTCTGAAAAAGAAACATTAGTTTAAGCAATAGATGGAAATCATGGTGTCGAAGGAAAAGGCCAAGTAAAAAAGAATGGATAAAAAATAATCAAGCGAATGCAGAAGGCGACAGTAGTATGCCGTGCTCGTAATTAGAAGTTTATTGTTACAATAATTTGGTTTCCTCAGATAGTAGTGCAATTTATACAATACAGGTTGTGTTTTTTTATCAATGTGTGCTAAGGACTACGTTTAATTACGAGTAATATAATCAAAAAGATCTTACATACAGAAAAAGAAAGTTTTTTGATTGTTTTTGATTACCACACTTGTGGGCTTGTATTCTATGAGTTTTTGCTCACTTATTAATATTACAGAAATATTAAGAATTTTTTTAATGTTTGGCCCAATTAATAATAATAGTACGTCGATAGTGTATTGATAAACAAAAGGAAAAACTATGTTACGCAGATATCATATCACTCCAAATTTGGATCAAAGACCATGATAATAAATTAGTGCCAATTTTTGCTCAACAATTGAGTAATCATTATTTGTTTGATTGAATTTGGCGAGATGATTGCATTTTTGTTTTGATAATTTTTTGTCATGCCTTTTTGTATGTGATTTTTGGGAGAACATGCGCCATCTTTGGATAATTTTCATGTTGATTTTTCTCTGCCTAATTTCTGTGGCAATTTCCATTATTTAAATATTGTAGAATATTATTACCTGAAATATACGAAATTGGGTAGAGAAAACTAACTTGAAAATTACCTCACATTCATGTTAGTGCTGATGTTGATTTATTATAGAACGTTGGAGAGCGTTCTGTGAATCACCGTATATGTTTTCCCAGTCTCGAGTTACGCTGTTCTAGTTGCCAATCGCGAGTCGACTTTTCAATTACAATTGCGGACGATGATGTATGATGCTACTTACATCGCTACAAAGTCAGCGGGAGCCAGCGGTTTGTCGTTGGGCAGACGGCAGTAGTTCTCGGTAAAGGTCAGATTCAAGCTCAGCAATGGGACCTGGTCCTGCATGTACTCCAGCGCTTGACGCACTGAGCAAACTTTGGGGATACAAACCGCCAGATTCAGTGTTGGCAAATTTGATGATAACATACTGTAATAAAAATGTACTCATTAAATGATGGTATTTGTATTCATTGAATGTCTTGTTTTGTTAAAAAGCCATGGTTTTAAATTAGTCCGTGTTTATTGTAGGGGTTATGTTTAATTAAGCCTACGTTGGTGGTTTATCGGCTTTTCACATCAATGTTTTTGTTGAACAGCAATATTGAGCAAAAGACAAATAGAAATAATTCAAAAACGTCTTATAGTGTCATTTTCAGCACTTAGAATAATTGAATATTTTTAGGAAAATAAAGATTCATAAATCACACCTTCAGGACATTTATGTTTCTTACCTATTAGCAGCTTTGTTATTTGCACCATCACCAGAAATAGTTCTAGTGGCGCGCTGCAAATTCGCAAAAGATTCTGTTTTATCAATATTATTTTCCTCCGGCCCAGTTGGAGGCCATATGGGGCCTGGAGGCCACACCGGCAATTCGATTGGATTCTGATCTAAGGGTATATTAACTCGACAATATTTCCCTTTTATATCATAATTGTTGACAAACTCGTCAATGCTAAGACATTGAAAGTAATCTCCTAGCTCGTTTAGATTTCCCTGTAAGATTCCGCTTGGGATTTTGCCGCTTGCGTCGTAGACTGAAAAAAGGAAATAAGAATATTAATTTTTCATGAAATGTTAACACGAGTTAAGAAACTCTTGAAGTAACTGAGGTTATTGAGTTCAAGTGCAAGTGTTTGCTGTAATGTGAGCTACGTCACACTAACACTCTCCCGCATCTTACTGTTATATAAGATGAATAAGACAAAAATTCCACTTTCTTCCAATCTAGATCCAAATTCACACATATTATATTGCATAGTTCAAGTGATGAATACTTACACCTATACCTCAAAGAATGATTCGAGAGTAACGTAAGCTGCTCTTGGCACAATTCGGCATCTATTACTCTCTCGTATAGGTCCGTATCAAATGCGCTCCTGAATGCTGTTGTACCGCTAACGCCTAACACTAGAAAACTTATGACCAATTTCAATGCCATTTTTAATATTTAATTTTCTTCACCTATGTTTCCCTTGTCGATATCGATCTTTAGTAACTTAATTCTAGGCAATTTGTTTTCGACTTATGAAAGATGTTGGTAGTAATAAATTAATTTATTCGCTAAAGTCAATTACTTCGCGTGTTTTCACTATTTCCCTTCAAACTGCTCTGTTATCAAGCTCAACCATTTCTACCTTATTTATATTAGAAGATATCAGAATTGTAACAGATAACGGATAACTAGAACATGAATTAAAGTCGATATATTCATCGAATAATTTATCGGTGTTAATGTTTACGGAATTACGATTAGAGTACGTGATTCGGTTAGTCACTAAATGATTCTATGAATCATATTTATTCTTTCGTAAAATTTGTGAATACTAAAAATAATCCTATTTTTATATGGATTACGCGTGGGATTTATATTTATTTTTAAAAATCTTGTTGTTGTATAATTAATTCACATTACTTAAGTGCTATTTTTAGTCAATTAATAACGATTAGGCGAGAACTATAAATAATTCACATAAAATGGAGTAATGGTGTAAGCACAATAACTAAGTGTTATAGTCAGAAAAGGCGAAGCGTCTGGGTTTTATCCCGGCTCTTTGTAAATGCCGGGTTTAAATTGAGTTAAAATCCATTAACGCCTGAAGTCGAGCGTAAAACTTATTTACGACTAAATATTTGTGAATGTTTATTGCTTGCTCACATATTATGCCTTTCTATTGAATCGATTCGCTTGAAAATCGCACTGAAATGAATCAATGCAAAAATCATTAGATCGTATACACTAGAATCGATTTTCATAAAAATCTAATTGTAATGTATCCCTAGAAGTGCCTAAGTGAGAGTCAACAGAGATGCAAGGTGGGTATTGTGTGGAGTTGACTCTGTTTCGCCCAAAACAAATTTCTACATCGAAATTCCTAATAAGTACGGCATTATACCAATATACGTATTATTTTACGCTTATAATGATTTCCAAACACGATTTTGGGCAGAACTAGGCTAAACGGGCGGATTGATTGCGTTTTAATCCACTGCCCACCTCTGGTTACTACAATGTTTAAAGGCTCGAAGAACTTGATTTTTATTTTGTTAATCGAATAAATGTCATTACACAATTCTTTAATCAAAGACTGGTTGCAGTTGTCCACAATCTTATAAAAGGAGAAGATGCTGGTACACGTTTGCTTTTAAGATGCTTGCTCATCCTGACCTTAAGCATGTCCAGGTTTTATCATAATATAAACGTGCGGACAATGGCACATCCTCCGTTAATAAACTCTGTCACTTATGATAAGATGGCTCAAAGTTCAAAGAACACCGTGATGTTCTGTACACGTAGTCACTATGTAATGTAATGTAATGTAAACATACGCTCTCGTCTTTCTCCTAAAATAAGTAACGACAATCTCCTCAAAGTAAAGAAGCCTGTCTCACTAATAAGACATCACACGCCTCTTCAATTAACACGGAAGCCGGAGTAATACTGCTATTTTACTCCCAGATTCCCTTTTACACCCAATACCCTTTATGCGGGGTGTAACGAAAATTACACCACATTTGATCAGAGAATAGTATTGCAACACGAAAACTTTGTTGTAGAAATCCGTACAAGAGTAGTTTAAAGTAGTTATTAATTATGTGACTAGATGACATTGACCCAAAATTCGCTAATTCAAAATCCTTGTGTTAAGATTATCCCAAAGTTGATTGTTATTAACTTTGGGATAATCTAATCTATTCAAGAGCATTTTGAAGTTATTATAATCCGCGTTCAAAGGAAAGTTTTTGAGCCCACGCTCATTAATCGGAATAAATCGCGAGGACAGGCAGAGAAAGGCTCTATTTATAACTTTGCGTCTACCGGGACTAGATACAGACTGTTCACCGCACTTGCAGCTAAAGTAAATTATAATATTAAACGAGTGCAACACCCGACAGTGCACAGACCTTGTTGTTAGATATAGTAAGCATGAGCCGAGCGAGCGAAACGACCGTGTCGCGGCAGCGGCCGCCGAGTGCCAGAAGCGAATTTCCTTGCTTTCCCGAGCATGGTTTTAAGTTCTTTAATGCTCATTTGCCTTCGTTTCCAGGCTCAACATGAAACTGTGAAAGTTAATTTATACATATCAAACATTAACTTAGAACAGATTAAAATATACATTCATAAAATTTATTTTATGTCTCAGAGAAAACGGGTCAATTATTAAAAAACATGACCGTTTAATTTTTTTAGCTTACTGCTTTTGCAAATTTAAAACGATCATTTAAATACATGCCAATCATTGATGGTGGGTTCGTGATCTTTTCTTTAGCTCGTCTATTTTACGTCTTGAGCAGCCATAAACAAATTTGACAATATCCAAGAAAATAACTTTCAGTTTTACCAATCCGATATTTGTATAAGGTAACGATACTTCTATTTTCTAAATATCACCCGGTGAATTAGTTCCTGTGTATAGCCAGGTAGGTCTCTGTTTATATCCGGTCGGGAACCCATTGGAAGAAATATTCCGTGGAGTTCTAACAAGTTTCTGATCCAATTACATTGTTTCGTTGTTAAGGCGAGCGTCGAGCGGTCGCCATCGCAACTTTTATAATTTACTAACAATGGTTAGACTCGTATTACTCGTTCTATCCCGCTGTGATGAAACCGAAAAAAGGATTTACGTGAATCTACAGGTACGCTTATACTTTTTTTTTTCATTTAAATTAGTGAAACGAAAACTTGTGGTCGAGGCTTTATTTATTGTACCAGGCTAGTAAAATTGTTGTCGTACGTAATATATTATGCAATGAGTATATTTGATCACGAATCCATAGTCTATGATTCCAGGTTTATTAGTCTGTTAGCCAGGCAGTCCAATAGGTACAGCAGGGAGTCATCAAAAAAGGTCACAACAGACAACAATATTACCTGTTGGAGTGAACGATGTGGACGAGGATCATTATACGCACGCCTAGTTCCTATTCACCCCAAAAATGTATATTCGTGTTGACGTAATGTAATATGAATGTTATTTTATTTTGTAACCATCTCCCAGACTAGGTCAAACGTCTTCTTCGTTTCGGGCACTCAGAAGGCTGCCCTTTTGAGTTTACAAAAATATTTTTTTTGTTTTTTATTTCTTATGATACTAAGTGATGGTATGACTAAGTCGAGCGCCTGATAGTAAACGACACGCTTGTTCATAACAATTGCAGTGCCACTATGAGCTTTAAATCTCAAAGATCTGAGTTGCACTGCCTGTGCGCCCATCACCCTGAGATATAAGTTGAAAAGTCCCACGTGCCTACAATTTCACCAGCACCCTTACCCCTCACATTTTTATTTCTGCTTGGCGGCAGAAATAGGTAAGGTGGCAGTACTTCCCTGGATGAATCTTCCACACTTTCAGTCACTCTTTCACAAGGAGCTCTAAAAATTTTACGGATATAATTTATTTATAGATTATTTTTACCTTTATTTTACACGTGAGTATTAGGGTATTATCGATAGTTTATTACTTGTGATATAATTACTTAGATAGATAATATAATATATCTATTATGGAGTATGTAGCATTCACTCCTTAATTTTTATCGCTAACTCAGGAAGCATAACATCCAGTCGACTCTTTAAAGACTAGTTGGAATAAATTCTTTTATATAATAAGCTCGTCTGTTTACATTAATATTGAAAAATGTTGTTAAGATAATGCAATTTGATTACGAAGTACAATAATGTGTTTACATACATATCAAATATATTTAATCATTTTGTACAGCAGTCAAGTACTCGTACCAAGAAATTAACATTGTAAGGCACAATATCCATTGCATTTTCGGTTTAACATCAGATAGATGGAGTCGTCTGAAAAAAAGAGGTATGATCTGGTCCGTTGATAAAACAGGTTACAGGTATACATAGGTCTGACATATGTAATTTTAAGGGTCAGCAACACCATTATGTCCGTTAAAATTAACGCATTCACGTAACAACAACGTAAAGAGCTCATAAAATAATTGTTTGCGCTCAAAATGGGCAATCCTAAGCAAACGTTGCTTACGGCAGCCTCCACAAAACAACGTTGTTACGCTCTACCTTTAAAAAGGTTTGAGAAAAACAGTTTTTATACTTAGTACGTTTTCACAGTGATTAAACCATAAGTAAATTGCCGAAGTTGCTAGCGACCGCGTAAATTATTTTAAGTCGATGTACTAAAATTTTCAACAAAATTGTTTTATGCAGTGTACAGCATTCTCAACATTGTAAGCAGTTTTAGTAGCAGAAGAGCGTCTTGGAGAATATTCGTCCAGGTAAGTACTGCCACCTTACCTATTTGTACTAAGGATGCTGGTCAAATTACAGGCACATGGGACTTGTCAACTCATGTCTCAGGATGACGGACACAGTGGCAGTGCCTAGCAGATCTTTGCGATTTAAAGCTTTGAGTGACACTGCAACTGTTATGGACAGGCGTGTCGTTTGTCTCCAAACACTTGTTCGTCCCATCACTTCGTATTATAAAAAAATAATAACCTCATACCACTTTGTTCTACATTAAGATTGCTGACTATCAAAACATCTGATTTGAAACTACGTATAAAACGGTTTCGTACCCGAAACGCCCAATCCAAATCTATTAAGTTTGTTTCCTTAATTCCCTAAATCGGCCTATATGTGTATGTACTTGAGGATCCGGAACACTTCATCCTTATGTCGTTGATATAAACCTATTCTCAGGAAGGGCTTTGCTTTTTCGTACAACAAAGGAATGGAATACACTACCGACTACAGTTAGGGCTATTCAAGGCTAGATAAACTAGCCATTTTTTATACAAATGCGTATCGTCTTAGGTCATTATATTCATCATTATCATCATCATCAACCCACTACGTCCCACTACAGGATTTAGGCCATAGTCCGCCACGCGGCCCAATGCGGATTGCAGATTTTGCATGTTTTCCGAGGGCTGTGAACCTTCTTCGACGAGCAGGTTTCATCACGATATTTTCCT